TAAAGGTTTGATACAGATTCCAATTTTATTTTGTAACAATATGTGGCGCTTAGTTGGTTGTTAGATCAATTACTGAAGTTGTGTATATTGTACTTCAAAAAATATTTCATTTTTTTAAAACATTCTTGTTTGTTCGATTGATGTGAACTGATCAAACAAAATGTTCAATTTTGATTTAATTCTATTGTTTTGCTTATTGCTTTTCAAATTTACTTCCGCTACTTCTCCCAAATTAATTGAATTCAAATCTCAAATTACCCAGAAAAATGGAACCAAACTAACAATCGTTTGCGTCATACAAGAAGGAACGAAACCATTTCAGTTTGAATGGCGATTCAATGATCAACAATTATTGAAATCATCCATTGCTTCTGATTATCGAATTGATTCATTCACTGATGATCAATCTCAATTAACCATTCCAAAGCTTGATCAAAAGCATTCGGGCACCTATTCTTGTTTGGCCCGTAATGATTTTGGTTTTGATCGACAATCTACACGTCTTACTGTTACAGGTTTGAGAATTTTCATTATCCATCAATATGTGGCGCAAATGAGTTTATAATTTGAATTTATTTTTTCAAATTTTTCAATATTTTGATGTTGTATGAGATATATGCAAGGATTATCATTCATTTCATTATTCAGTTAGTCTGTTTCAATTTTTTAGAAAACATGTGGACATTTATATATTATTTAGTGTTTTGTCTTCATATTTTTACATCTTTAGCCGAACACACGGCACCAAAGCTTGGTGAACATGTTTCACGACGTTCACAAAATGTTGGTACTAAATTAAAGATAACATGTTTCGTGCAACAAGGCCAGAAGCCGTTTTTATTTGAATGGTATAAAAATGATCAATTGATATTCAATGATCATCACAAATATCACATTGATTCTGACGATGATACTTCTCTTTTGGCTATTGCCAATCTTAATGAAAAAGATTCGGCTAATTATTCCTGTACTGTACGAAATGATTTTGGTTTCGATACACAAACTACCATCCTAATAATTAAAGGTTTGAATTTTGTATGAATTCAATTTCGTAACAATATGTGGCGCTTAATCCAACAAGATAATTAATCTTTATCTAGAAATGTTTTAACTATTCCAACCTTTTCGCATTGTTGATAATAATTCATTTCTGCTGACACTTGTGACAAAATGTTATTTCAAAAATTTGTTGTTATTTTATGTGTTATATTCATTAGTTTTGCTGCCGCAAAACCACCAAAATTGAATAAATTCCTACCACAATCAATACAAGATCATGGAACAAAATTCGCATTATTTTGTCTGGTTCAAGATGGCCAGAAACCATTCATCTTTGAATGGCGATTCAATGATCAGCTCTTAAAACCATCATCAGATCAATCAGATTATCGTATCGATTCATTCAATGATGACCAATCTCAATTAACCATTGCGAAACTTGACCCAAAACATTCCGGAACCTATTCATGCATTGCACGTAATGATTTCGGTTTCGACAAACAATCTACACATCTTATTGTTACAGGTTTGCGAATTTTCATTGTCTAACAATATGTGGCGCATACTGTTTTATTTTGAATCAATTTTAATAATCATTTATTGCAAACTTTTAAGCAAAAAAATGATCATTTGTATTTTGGTTTGAACTACATTGCATTTCAACAACATGTTTACTCGAATTTTATTGATTATCATTTGTTTTCGTATTTCCTTCACCCTACAATCGGTTCCGAAACTAAGTGAACATGCACCCCGACGTTCTCAAAATATTGGAACCAGATTCAAAGTTTCTTGCTTTGTCGAAGATGGCCAAAAACCATTTCGATTTGAATGGAGAAAAAATGATCAAATTA